AGAAACACAAACTATCCATAATGCTTACAAGAATACATCTGAAAATATAATTAGAGGTACAATTAGCATCAAGCGATATTTCAAAATGTATGTAATTATTAATGTTTTTGCTCAAACCCCACTTTAAACCATCATCGAGTGCGTGTAATAAATTCCGATTGTGATCTAAAATGGATTTTGATTCTATACAAGGCAGACATGAAGTCTTTGTATGTTTTATAATAGACTGAACACTACCTGCTTGTCATAAACATTGTTTATTGTTATAAAAATACAGTGAGCTGTATAAAAAAACATGCCGAAAATATATTTTCATTATCATATGTCTATTTGCGTTCATATTTCATGTGTAGAAAAAAGCAGAGCGACGGGGAAAAAATCAACACACAAGGACGAATTTTTTCCCCCCACTTTTTCGTGCGCTAATTATCGCGCCTGCTGTGAATAGCCCCATTAAGGATCTATTGTTTCGATTCAGAAGTGTCATCGCGCCGATTTTCGAGTTCAGTGTGAAAAGGCCTTAAGTGTCCTTAAATTAAAGGGATAGCTCACCCAAAAATGAAAATTCTGTCATTAGTTACTCACCCTCATGTCTTCTCCTCCTCATCCCGTATGCTGTGGCATGAATGCAATTATTGAATAAAGTTGTTATTTTAGTTTTCTTTGCACACAAAAATGATTCTCGTAGCTTCATAAAATTACGGTTGAACCCCTGATGTCACATGGACTATTTTACCAATGTCTTTGCTATGTTTCTGGACCTTGATTGTGGTAATATCCTTGTTGTCTATGGAGGGTCAGAGAGCTCTCAGATTTGATCAAAAACATCTTAATTTGTGTTCTGAAGATGATCGAAGGTCTTACCGTGCGTTCACACCGCCGCCGTCGATAGCGTCAAAGTGACCGGAAGTCATTCATTTTCAATGCGAGCCGGCGTCGAGCAGCGTCGAGCAGCGGCGCGGTGCGACTTGGACGTTGAGGGCGTCGAGGAGAGTTGAAATCAGGTCAACTTTATGGTAATGAGCTATGAAACGGTTCGGCGGCATCTGGCGGCAACCAATCGGAACGTAGAAGTCCACCGCTTGAGAGGATTCCAGAGAACGCAGTCCTGTAAACTTTGGTTCCGACCACATTAGTTCCCAAGCAAAATGGAGGAGAGGTTGATTATTGCTGTGGCGGGTTTCCCAATAATCTATGACGTGTCCCTGTTTGCATACAGGGACATAAAAAAAAAAATTATGCGTGGACCAAGGTGTCTGAGATTGTTGGTGTTCCTGGTGAGTTGCTGATGTGCATTAACGTTATAGTAATAATAATCTAATGACATAATAAATAATAGTATAGTCCCAGTTCACTTTTAAACCTTTAAATCAATTTTCCTGATTATACTTACATTAAGTAATGTTTATACCTGATTATACTTACTTAAGTAACAGTTTCAATGCAGGACTTTTACTTGTATCAGAGTATTTTTACAGTGTTGTATTAGTGCTTTGTACATTATGAGGTAAAGGATCTTAATACTTCGTCCACAACAATGTTTAATGAGGTTAACTTATAACTTTACCCTCCTTGTGGTCAGTGTGCACGAGATCAACAAGCTTGTTTGCTTTGCGTCCCCTTTAAATACAAGATAAGCATTCGATCTACGTCAGAGCGTCCACAAATCTTTCTACAGCGTTGTTGGCAGGGCAGCCAGAGCGAGTTTTGATGCTCTCGACGGCGGCGGTGTGAACGCACAGTTATGGGTTTGGAACATCGTTGATGGCATAATGGGCCTCACTCCAAGTCTTTAAAAAACAAAACAAAAAAAGCTTGTTAACACTTTAGTTTAGGGACCAATTTTTACTATTAACTCGTTGTTTATTAGCATGCATATTGCTAGCATATTGACTGTTTATTAGTACTTTTAAAGCACATATTAATGTCTTATTCTGCATGTCCAGATTTTAGATCCCTTAATCCAACCTAAACTTAACAACTACCATACTAACTTTTAGGCTAATAAACAGCAGATTAGTTGTTTATTGAGACAAAAGTTGAAGTTAATAGTTAATAGTGAGAATTGGTCCTTAAACTGAAGTGTCACCAAAACCTTTAAATCCTAGTAGTTTTTTAAACTAAAAATAAGTTAATAATAACAAAAAATAAATACTTTAGTTTTAGTACTGCTTTTTATCAGCGATATAACTAAAAGAACCAAAGACTTAAACTCCTTCAGTCTGTGTGCACTGAATTTATTTAATACACGAGTTTCACAATTTGAGTTGAATTACTGAAATAAATGAACTTTTCCACGACATTCTAATTTATTGAGATGCACCTGTATACTTACTATTATAATAACAATAAATTATTCATAATTACATGCAAGTAACCCTAAGCCGAACCCTAATCCTAACCATAAAGTAAGTACATGTTAAATAACATTACTCAGTATTTAAATGTATAATTACACTGTAACAGGGAAACCTTAAAATAAAGTGTAACCCAAAATTATACTAAAGTGTTGATCAAGCTATACTTGAGAAAAGTATCATTAAGTCTACGTAAAGTACAGTTAAAAGTATATTTCAGTTATAAAAATTAATACCTAAATAAGTTTCAAGTTTATTTATATAGCACATTTAAAAACAAAGCAAGCGAGGCTGACCAAAGTGCCGAACAAAACATAAAATGAAAGCACACATTCAGGATGGAAGCTCACAATGTGTTGAAAGCCAAAGAAAGAAAAAAAAGGTTTTAAGAGATGATCTAAAAGCAGTTAAAGACTGTGCCGATCTGATATAAGCCCCTAGGGCCAGCAATAGCAAAGGCTCTATCCCCTCTATGCTTTAACCGCAATCTAAGGACAGAGTTATATTCTCTGTTCACTAGACCTCATATTTTATGTGGGACTAGATGAAGTATAGCTCAGACAGATTACTTAAAGTATACAGTATACTTAAAGTACAAAAATAACATATACCGGTACATGCTCAAATGTAAGTATGCTCACTTAAAGAAAGCTTACAACTATACTTGAGGTATAAAAACCTTTAAAGTTTACATAAGGTAAAAATGGGCTGAGAAGAACATGACTAGTAAACTATCTTTATCATTATAATACAAGTTTACTTGTAGTATAGTTTACAGTAAATTTGCGAAGCTTAAAAGTAAACCAGTTGTTACTAAATGGGTGCCGTCAGAATGAGAATCCAAACAGCTGATAAAAACATCACAATAGTAATCCACACGACTCCAGTCCATCAATTAATGTTGTCAAGTGCTGCAAGTTTGTAAGAAACAAATACATCAGTAATGCATATTAACTTTAAACTGTCACTTCTTGCCAAAATGTAAGTCCATAATCCATAATAATGCTTCTTCCAGTGCAAAAGTCCAAAAGTCCAAATCAAAATCCACTGAAAAGAACTGTTTTGGACTGATTTCACTTGTAAATGGTGCTTGATCGGTGCATATTTCTCTTCTGATTCAGACAAGATGACTTTTTTCACTGGAGAAAGTAATATTATGGATAAAGGACTTGTATTTTAGCAGTAAGCAATGTTTTGAAGTTTAAAAAGTTTTAATTAGGGATTTTTTTTAATTACAGATACACTGCTTGTGGATTATGGTGATGTTTTTTTGGACTCTCATTCTGACGGCACCCATTCACTGCAGAGGATCCGTTAGTGAACAAGTGATATAATGCTAAATTTCTCCAGATCTGTTCAGATAAAGAAACAAACTCACCTACATGATATGTGTCAGTAACTTTTTTAGCCAATTTTCATTTTTCGGGGGAACAGTTCCTTTAAGAAGTATTATAGAGGAAAGTAAAGTTCCCATGGTGCAGTTCTAAATGTTTTTTTTTATTACAAAGAAAGCACACTGAACATGTTTTTATTTATGATTTTTTTCTAATAATATTCAGTCAATATGACCTGACAGTGGATAGAAATATATAACGATGACAACATTTCTCAAAGAAGCTTTTCATCCACAATAGCGTCTACTTGACATCCACATATACTTTTTTTTGTGTGTGTAGAAATCAAAAACATGACAGTGGAATCATCACAGTAGAAATGAGCATCTTAAAACTTATTATTAAAAGATCACAGTATGAGGATAACATTAGATTCACATTTACTGCACCTAAAATGACTTGTCTTATTTAAAGCTTTTTTAGCTACTGTTACATTGATTCTGTACAAGTGAAACAGTATATGCCCCTTGCTTAACAAGGGTTGAAAAATTTTGAGAATAACAACAAAAATGAAACTTTGCCATGCATGAAGTCTACAAGAGTTAACTGTAATAACATCTCCAGTCGGCGAACGAGTCATATTAGTGTCATGGTGCAAAAAGAGAGCGAATAACTCGAGTCATATGGATGCTAAACATTCACTGTACAGTTAAATGTCATGTATGATCCATGGCATGCTACATAGCAGTATGAGAGTGTGTAGAAGCAAAGGTGCACAGCTGCATGTGTGTTATATAACAGTGGTTCTCATATGGTGGATCTGGAGGTCTGTTCTGAACAAATATTTGCTAAATGCAAGAGAAAAAAAGCTTGCAACACTTTACAATAAGGTCCCATTAGTTATAGTTAGGCAATGCATTAATTAACATGAACTAATAATGAGCAGTTCATTTGTTACAGCATTTATTAATCTTTGTTAACCAAAAAAAAAAGGTTCTTTGTTAGTTCATGTTAGCTCAGGTCCATTTAATAATATTAACAGATAACAACGTTTGATTTTGATAAGCTATTAGTAAATGTTGAAATGAATATTATTTTTCATTGTAAGTTCATAATGTTTACAAATGAAACCTTATTGTAAAGAGGAACCAAAATGCTTTCTATTTGTTTTATTAAAGGAATATTCCAGATTCAACTGTGTTGCGTTTATTACCACAAATATGAATCTCCACTTGTCCCTCTTTTTCTTTAAAAAAGCAGACATGTTTCGCCTTATGGCGTCCCGAGTTCGAGTCCCGGTTCGTGGACCTTTCCCGATCCCCCCCCACCCACTTCACTTCCTGTATAAAATAAATCTTAAAAAAAAAAAGCAGACGTTTTGTGTTACACTGACAATTCACAAAAAAGTGAACGGAGGTAATCTGTGAATGTTGAAATACTCACTGCTTCAGCAATGCAGCCGCACATAAACAATATTTGTTTTCATATGATTTCAGTCGCTTACTAATCTTGTCTGTCTACAGTTGTTTCCAATTTTGCAACTTGTAAATTCTAAAACCTTAAATGACTATACAAATGATTTAAACAGCTTCACCGCTGCAATACAAAATTTTTTTTTTACGTAGGAGCTTTTATAAAATCAAAGTTTTTAAATCCTCCAAAAATTGGCCTCATTCACTTAATGTAGTGCCTGTGCTTTCTGCTTGTTTTAAAGAAGACATGAGATGGGTCGAAATCATTTCTGTGGTAATCAACATTATGCCAGCTGTACGGAAAATTCCTTGAATATCAAAGTATGCAACTAAACTCGAGCAGTATTTTGGCCAAATCTTTGGTAGAAGTGAGTCAAATTAGACAGATATGCCATCACCAAAAAACAAACAAAAATGGCTTTGGTGAATTGTTGCAAGCTGGGAACGAGATACCATCAAACTTCAAGAAATATTTATAAACTAACCAAGAAGCAACTTTTCATGACTTTGTTTTTGTACGCTAAACAACATTTGATGTCCAATGTGCAGAGCTAACGTGAAAGCAGCTGAGAAGCACCGATACATATATGTGCGTCTGGGGTGATTAGGTCTTCTTGGGGCAGAGGTGTCCGAGTCTCCAGCAGTGGCAGATGGTGTTGAAGAGCCTGCAGTGACAGGAAGCACATGGGTCACAGCAGGGAGTGAGCGAGGAGCAGCTCTCCATCAGACCGGCGCAGCGCCGCGCTGGAGAAACCGCCTCAGGCCTGGGCTTAGGTCTCTGGAGGACACATATTTTCATGAGAAACGAATGAACAGAGTAAAGAACAACTAATGCAGTTCTATTTTCTCAAGCTTTTTAATGTAAAAAGGATTAACTCAAAAGATTTCCAAGAAGGAATATTATATTCTTGCTCTTGCAAAAGGACAGATGTGCATTAGTCCACTTGAACAATGTTGGGTTCGTTGTGTTATGGTCCACGTTTAAGGAGACGGTGTGATGTGTGGAACGTACCACCACATGATGTCTCTGCTGAGACAGATAGCGAGTCCTGGCAAAGAGTCTTTTTGGCTTCTGATTCCACGCTCCTGTTGGGAGATGCACTGAATTAGGACTGTAAACGCGTTTATGCATTTGTGTTTTTTAAGGAGTTCACATTTTATCATTCCACACTTAAGTGGAAGAAACCCAGGTGGCACTTGAAAGAGACAGTGGTAGATTTTTCCAGTCAGCCTGTTCACATGAGACGCCTGACGAAAATAATGAGCCTTTCACTGGAGCTGTTGAGGGCAGGCTAGTGAATGGTGAGACTGTGCATGGACAGATGCTAAAAAAATCGGTTTTCTTCTAAGCCTCATTAGTGACGTTGACAGTAGCTGCAAATCCCAGAGAAGAAAAGAAGCCTTTGTGTTTGGAAAGCATGTTTATACTGGCCTGGTTACAGTATGTGTGAAAAGCAACACGTCGTCAGGTGGCATAGTGAATGATCTAACGTCATGTGATCAGTAGTAAACGATAAAATGTCATCAGAAGGCATGGCAACATGTCTTAATTCATCAGTGAATTCAGGCCAAGCAGGTGTTTTATCAAGGGGAACACACACACAAGCATTTAAACATTGCAAAGTAGCCTGCAAAAATGCAATATGAAAGATTCAAAATAAAAAGCTCAAGTTAAGCAGATCGGGTATAACATTACAAATGTAGTGGATACAAATAATATCTAGTCTTATACTAAATTAATCAGCTGGTTATCAATATATACATCTATACACGTTATATTTTAAACCGTGACTATCATACTAAATGAAAATTAAATTCTGCTGCATGGTTAAATCACTATACTTCTATTAATTCATATATATAGTTATTTTATAAATAATATAATATAGCATTGGATACATGGATACAACTATAGTAACTATCATTACATTAAATGGAATATTAAATGATGGATTTAGCCTGATGGTTAAATTCATATATTTTAATTTATTGTAATTAAAATACAATTACTTTTTTTATAATATAACAGTGTGTGCATACAGACAACTATATGCATTATACTGTGTGTGTGTGTGTGTGTGTGTATATATATATAATTTTAATTAAGATATAATTACCTTTATAATATAATGTAATAATAGTAACTGTAACATTAACTTTTATCTTTAGTAAACTGTCATTATATAATATAATATTAAATGTTGGATTCAGGCTGATGGTTAAATTACTATATTTTATTCATTTAAATTTAAAGATACCTATTTTATCATTTAATAATATTATAATATAATTAAATATAATTATATACGTTATACTCAGTCACTATAAATTGAAAATTAAATGTTCGTTTTAGGCTGCTTGGTTAAATGAATGTGTATTTATTATTTTTTAAATATCATAATTTTTTATAATACAATAATATGTGGATGCACGCAAATATTTACATTTGGTTATATACTGTAACTATCATTATATTAAATTAAACCATAAATACTGGTCGCTGCTTAAATTATAAAATGTTCTATTCAGTTCAATTCAAATATAATATGTTACCTGCTGTTGTGGCAGAGCTGTGGTGCGCCACGTCGTTTTCGTGCTTTTTGCGCGCATCTATCCTGTTCGCCTCGCATGTGATGGACTGAACAACTGTGAAGAACAAGCAGACGAACAGCACAAATCCTTTCATCATTGCCGTCGTCATTTTCGGTGTGTGTGTGTGAGGCTCGCGTCAGACTGTCCTCCTAGAGATCACTCAACAAGTGAGGTCCGCGCTGAAGCCCATTCGCTGCGTTTATAAAGCCCAAACTCACCCACACCCACGCCCACTCCGAGACAGCACTCCTCATTCAACACTCGGCCCAAGTGTGTCTGTGCCTTTCACTCATCTATCACAGCTCCACGAACATGATGTGTGTTGCCAATCACACACACACACACAGGGTTTTTTTTAAATGGTTTATGGGGACTCTCCATAGGCGTAATGGTTTTTCTACTGTACAGACTGTATTTTCTATTGCCCTACACCAACCCTACCCCTAAACCTACCCCTTACAGAAAACTTTCTGCATTTTTAGAGTTTAAAAAAAATTTATTCTGAATTATTTATAAGCCTTTTGAATTAAGGGGACACTGAAAATGTCCTCATAAATCACCTTCTCGTTGTAATACCTATGTCATACCCATGTTATTATACAAATTTGTGTCCTCATAAACCACATAAGCATGCACACACACCCACACACACACACATGTCTGGTTTGCTATCCTTGTGGGGACTCTCCATAAGCGTAATGCTTTTTCTACTGTACAGACCGTATTTTCTATTGCCCTACACCAACCCTACACCTAAACCTAGCCCTTACAGGAAACTTTCTGCATTTTTTGATTTTCAGAAAACTTAATTCTATGTGATTTATTAGCTTGTTTACCCGTGGGGACCTCAATTTAGGTCCCCACCGTGACACGAGTCCCCATGGGTTTGTGTGTTCAGGTTCAAGTCCCCACCAGAATAGAAAAACAGGTACACACAGACACACACACACACACACACACACACACACACACACACGTTGTGTTTCCATGTTTTATGGGGACATTCCATAGGCGTAATGGTTTTAAACTGTATGTGCTATTGCCCTACACCAACCATACCCCTAAACCTACCCCTTACAGGAAACTTTGTGCATTTTTACTTTCCCAAAAAAACTCATTCTGTATGATTTATAAGCTTGTTTTCTCATGGGGACCTCAAAAATATCCCTACAAGGTCAAAATTTACTAGTATTACTATCCTTGTGGGGACATTTGGTCCCCATAACGTGATAAATACCAGGTACACACACACACACACACACACACACAAATGCATTTTCTTTTCTTACCCAGCGGAAAGTAATATGGCTATAGATTGATCTTTCATAGCTTAAGAGGCATCTGTGGCTACTGTATATACATTTCGGTTGTAAATACAGCTGCATCACATTTTGTAATCAGTACCAGTTCCAGGTGACCTCAAACAATCCCATTTGTTATATAATAGCACCTGATGAATCTAATTTAATGCTAAATAAATCTTTGTTCCCGCACTTTTAATACAACCGGTTTAGAATTATGGATACTGCGCACCAATTCATAATATGATATTTCAACTCTATGACAGTGAGTTATCTGAAAGTGATTTACTTTACAGGTTTGCCTGGGTTCAACTAAACGTTTATAAATAATTTCACTGCAGCATATTGTTTCTGAGAAATGTTTATTCGGCAAGTGCTAGGAACTATTAATTTTGACCCGATGTTCCACATCACAATAATTCACACAAGTTCAGTCCATCAATTATTGTCTAATGAATTAAAAAGCTGCATGCTTGTAATAAATTCATCATTATTGCGTTTTTAACTTCAAACTGTTGCTTCTGGCTAAAATATGAGAACCCCCTATTCGTAATATAGCTTTAGATGCACTTTTCCACTGGAGGAAACATTGTTATGGATTATGAACTCATATTTTGGTTAGAAGTGACCCTTTAAAGTTCAAATGCATTAAAGATGGATTTAGTTTTTCTTACAAACATACAGCTTTTCACATCACAAGGCATTATTTGATGGACTACTTGTGGATTATTGTAACGTTTTTATCAGCTGTTTGGACTCTCATTCTGACGGCACCCATTCACTGCAGAGGATCCACTTGGATGATCAAGTGATGCATTGCAAAATTTCTCCAAATCTGTTCCAATTTGGATGGCCTAAGGGTGAGTACATTTTCAGCAAATTTTCAATTTTGTAAAAAACGTGGAGAGATACTCTACTTTTGCAACATTAAAATGTTGCTGATCAAGATGAGCACTGTAATCAACATTCCTGAGTTCTTATTAGTCTATCTGAAACCACCATAAACTTGGTTACATAAGGTTAAAATGCAGTTCTCTACAGTATGTTGGCAGGGAAATGCATTTTGTATTGATGTACAGCATAGTTACATCTAAAGATAATGGTCTGGGAGATGACTGTACTCGTGTAAATCTCTCCTGTACCCCTTGTGTGTGTGTGGGTGTGCAATGTAGTCTTGTTAATAGTGGCTGGTATTTAAGATACGTCAGCTTCACCAGATAACTGCAATAGGACAAGGTGAAAAACATCAAATGGGATCCAAAATTCTGATATGGCATCAAAAACCATTTTTCATTTAATCCTGGGGATAAAAGTTTAACACACGTTCTGGTTGTAATTTATCTCATTTCCCTGCTCCATCCATTAGTCCTGTATCAACATTTACTCTACCATGTGTAGATACTCATCTTATCCCAGAGGTTTCAGGAGTCCCTTGTGTAATACGGTCTTGAGTAATCCCTGATATCTTGCCGTTTTCATGCCTGATAAAATGCAAGTGAATGCAAGTGCCTGCCCGGCCCCGGACTCTGTTCGTTGATTTTTCAGAAAACCACCAGTGTCACACATCACTGCCAAACTGTCACTCAACCGTCTTCGTTCCATATGGTCAAATCTCCTTCCAGAGCTGTGCTGTTGTTATTGTATTTCCTATTTAGAAAAGGAATTTGGTTTCTGCTGTAATACTTGTCTGCCCTAAAGTGCCTCAATGTTCAAGACTATACTTTCAAATGCACATGTGCTGACAAGCCTCTAATGGCTCCCTTATGTTACAGAAATGTGTTTGGTGCAAGAACTTTAACTTATAAACATCTCTTATATCACACGTACTAATGATGGTTTGCATCAATAGCTTCTTGTTTGACAATTTTGGGGGTATTTTGAGAAAGGACTAATAAAAAGCCTCAAATGACATTTTTGCAAACTTAAAACGTACCTTTAGATCTTAGTCAGGTATGTGGCATATTTAATTTCTGACAGGAGTGAAAACAAGGCTGTGAGGGATAAGAGTACAGTGCATTCAGTGGGTTGTACTGTTGTTTAACAACATATGGATTGTTCAGCTGATAAGTCTTTATGGAAAAAAACTTTCAGTAAACAAAAAACTTTCAAAAACTTGATTTACTGTAGGACCTTCATACAGTGCATATCATTATGAGGGAAAAGCTTACAGTCTTTACAGTCTCATTTTCATCTGTGTTAAATTCAGTATGGCATCTAACCTGATTACGATCTACACATTCAATTCAGCATCCAGCTGAAATAAACACTAGTGGCCTTAAAGTGTTAGTTCACCCAAAAATGAAAATTAGCCCATGTTTTACTCGCTCTCGAAGCATCATAGGTGTATATGACTTTCTTCTTTTAGACGAATCCAATCTGAGTTATATTAAAAATGATCCTGGCTCTGGCAAGCATTAGAATGGGAGTAGGCGGGTGTTTTTGTTCAACAGTCCAAAAGTAGTCAAATAAAGCATGCACATCTGTAATAAAATGTCCCTCACACCGCTCTCGTAGCGAATCGATGCGTTTTTGTAAGAAAAATATCCATATTTCAAACATTATGAACACTTTTCTCTCACTTCTGCTAACTGTCGTAGACGGAAGCCGTTCCGGGCGAATGACGTAGGACTGTATATATATATATATATATATATACATACAGTATCCAGGGCTGTATATAACTTTTCTGATAAAGTAAACTTATTCGGTGATTACCTGGTACAGCATTGCACTTGCAATGTGAAGTGCTCAGGTGCGAGTCCCGTGAAACAAGAGTCATGACTCAATAAAAGAGCTGAATGGCTAAAAGCAAGCTAAAATGGCGTGGCTGCTCCTGCAAATGTTTTTACATCACATTTCATTATTTTCACACTATCAGTGTTTACTGCAGGTGGTGTTATTTTCAAAGGCAATCGGCATTATCCTGCATTACCCTACATTTTCGCAATACATACAATAACCAGCGTAATAAATGGGGGCTGAATGCGGCCGAGATGTAGAAGCCCAAAAAAGTCCATCCATCCATCATGAAATGTACTCCACATGGCTCCAGGGGGTTAATAAAAGACTTCTGAAGTGAAGCAGTGCGTTTGTGTAAGAAAATATACATAACTTTGTAAACCGCAGTCTCTAGCTTCCGTTAACTGTCGTAAGCGCATTCACGAGAGAGTGGCGTTCCAGTGGATGACGTAGGACGTAGGTTAGGTGAATTGAGGGTGAGTAAATCATGGAATAACATTTATTTATTTTTCTTCCTTGAATTTCATTTTGCAGAAGTTTTTTTTAAAAGGTAATTTCAAAGGTAATTTTTTTCCTTTTTTTCCCCATTAAAAGTTTTAAATGTAAAGTAAAGAATAAAAGAAAGAGAAAGCAATTTTGTTCAAATGTTTAAAATGATGTCCACTCACACGAGATGAAGACAGTAGTCTAAGAAAAGCTGTTTTATTCTACATGGGGTGGGTTTCCACATTGAGTCTCATACAACAGAATACTACTGAAGATTTGAGCTTTCACACAACTAGGATTTAAGCACGAAGTTCAAGACCACTCTTCTATGGACCAGTGAAACAACAAAATTAAACATTTCTTCTTTCTCAAAATCAATATTAAGCATTTAGTCTTTGTAGAACGCAGTTTGCATTACAAAGTTTGTGGCTGAAAAGCGATGCCATATGTCAGCTAAAACAATCCCAAACATACTCAAACAAACATATTGCTATGTGACGGTAATCGATAGCTTGGCTCATGTGCAGGGGCGTAGTTTGCTGGGGGGATGGGGGGATATACCCCCCCCAATAACCAAAATTAGCAAGTACAACCAACCCCCTCCCCCCCCCCCCCCCCCCCCCCCCCCCCCCCCCAACAAAACATTCGAGAAACAAAAAAA